GTATGTCTGCATGTCTGTATGTATGTATGCAGGCATGCATGGATGTATGTATGCATGAGCGCATGCATGCACGTGTGTGTGTATATGTATGTATGTATGTATGTATGTATGTATGTATGTATGTATGTATGTATGTATGTATGTATGTATGTATGTATGTATGTATGTATGTATGTATGTATGTATGTATGTATGTATGTATGTATGTATGTATGAACGTGTGTATGTAGGTATGATGCCCTTTTTTCCCCAGCAGCAGGTAGTGGTTTGGGGGTGAACACCACCAGCTAAAATGGTGGCCTCGCCACTACCTCTCACTGCCTTATTGTCCAGTCGGAGAACACGAACGTGGTTTCAGCGTTAGATTGTTCCGTGTTTGCAAGGGGGCCAAACACAAGGAGAGAACCAAGCAAATTCTCCGACGGTTATTGCCGTCAAACGGTGGCATTGTGTGTGCCAAGACCTGACGTTTGTCCACTTGTTCCGCTTCGTCCGCTTGGATCATTTTCACGATAGGACTACGTGGCCGCCTACACAAGGAATGATATGGCTCGAAAGCCACTGCACCGATGAAGAATCAGAACTCAAGATCCATAGTGCTCTCATCATCATCCCTAGCAGTAACCAAGCTGTCAAAGGGATCCTTGTAATCATTGTTGGATCTCTCTGATGGGATGAATGACCAGCCCCATCATATCCAACTAGCTGTAGTATTGCCATAACTCTCTATTATATTTATGGATGTTGGTCGCACATTGACATTCATGTCAAAACAACACCCATGTAACACCCCCCCAAACATGCGCTGAGGGGCGAGGGGCGGGGCGGGGGGCGGGGGGGCAGGGCAACACAAGCATTTTGAGAAAACCAATTTGGACATGCGTCAACATGCCGACAGCCCGGCGGCACAAACACACAAACACACAAACACGCAACACACAACACAAAACCACACACACACACAGAAAAACAAATAAGCTCAGGTGATATCCCCAACAGCATGCGGTGCTCTATTTAGTGCTCGCACCACCCGGCAGCCCTCGCAGAACCTCGTGGAACCCTGGTGGAACCCTCGTGGAACCTTACCTCAGGGCCGCCCCGGACCACCCCGGACCACCCCGGAGCCTATCTGGGCTGAGACCCCAAAGCTTTCAGCTGTTGGGGAAAAAACCAGCAAACAAACAAGCAAATAGACAAACAAGCAAGCCAGCGCCGACACACGCACACAAATCACTCACATGTAGCACCTCCGAGCCCGCTTCTTCCTGGCCTCTGGAAGGCTGGCAGGGAATCCTGCCAGGGCCCCAGGTCCAAAACACCAGCCAGCCATGGGCGCGTCCATGACTTCCACAACTTTCAACACCAACTACTTCGGGTTCTCCTTTACGGCTTTAAGAAGGTCCCATTGAGCCTTACGCTTTCCAAGGGACGCCAACAAAAATATTTGGCATCGATGCGCCTGGTTGTAGACCCGGAAGGTGATCGGCATCTTGGCCACCGGGTACTCAGAGGGGGGATCCAGCTCCCACTGCTGCCACTGGATGTCCGAGCTCTGGAAGGTCATGCCCTGCGCTTGTCTTGCCCAAGCGAAGTGCTGCAGTTGTTGGTGGCTTGGCTCAGGTGTTGCAGTTGTTGGCGGCTTGGCTCCTGCTTCTTCCGGGGAGTGGGGCGTTCTCATTTCAAAACCATGGGTGTCACAGAGTTGCTAAACGTGCTCTCCAATGTACGACTTGCCCACAGCCAGACCACCGTTGATGATCGTGACTTTACCCGGCCCGTATGGCGTCTCCTGCATGACAGTCTCATGCCAAACCCAGGTCAGAATGTACATAAAGAGGTTGAGCTTGTGGTAGAGCACCACCTGTGCGCAAGTCACAGAACCGGCGCAAAGCCAAGCTTGCTCCCTGTTGTCTCTGGGATCCCCCACCCAGATTGTCCCGGGTTGGCCTGCGGAATTGACAACCCCACCCTAGCAACCCTAAGGCGAGAGCACTCAACACTAGTCCCACTCCAAACAAATACCCAACCCGCACCTTCCACAAGGGGGCAACATCCTTAGCATTATCATGTGCCCTTCGTTTTTTCACCAACATCAGTCAGGTGCGATAATTTGCATCCCAACGCACTGCAAGTTACATCGTCTCGCGGCACCAGAACCTCCGGATTTGACACGTATCCAGATAGGGTTGCTGCTTTTTTCAAGCATGCCAAATTACTGAGCAGAACATGTTGACTTTGTGATCAACCGGTGAAGTTGCCAGCACTTCCTTAGAGGCCCTGACTGCCGGCACGTCAAGCAAACTATCTCCAAGAGCCGCCATGCGTGAACATTCCAATCTTGTCTGCGAACCAATTCGCTCACCCAATCTACAACTTGCGCAAATCCCACGCCTGGCTGCTGCTCTGGTCCTCAACTTTCTTTATAGCGTCTAGCATATTTCTGGACGGCTGGGGCATAGCAGCGACCTGAGAACACCGGCAAAGGCTGAGCAAAGGTCTCCAACAATTCAAGTCAATGGAGTCTTTCATCCGTAGAAGTCGGGACTTGGAATCAGGATCGGGCTCGTGAAAAGTCATGTGCCGAAAACTGATGTCGTGCAATCCGCTACACACGCTGCGTGCTCAAGTGACGCTTCCTGTGCAAACCTGGCGTGAAGAAAGAAGTGCTCATGGGGCAGACCAAGCTGCATTATGGAAAATGTCAAGGTTAATAGTTACTGGTTTGTTTGCAGATTCAAGGCAGCACGACTGCAGTCCGACATGGCACTCCGCAACAACCACGACAACTGCCAAGATGATGCTACGAACCAATACCAGGACTGGCCTCAGCACAAAGGACGAGCAGGCTACTAAAGGCGGGCACACATGAAACAACGGCTCGCCATCGTCGAACAGCTACGGTGCCAGCGACAAGAGTGATTCGGCAAGACTTTGCAAGCAAACGCGGACCTTTGGGTACGTACCTGTTGGCTCCGTGCGGAGTTGCTGCTTATTGAATGAAGCAATGGAACCAAAGACAACGCTGAAGCTAAAGCAAAGGACTTGCATGGACAGAAGCAATAGCTCAACCACAAGAGATGAAGAGGACATTGACTTGAAGCTCTGGCACTCGCTTGGCACAGAGTCACTCAAGCATTGCTTGTGCCCCATTCATTCCCTGCTGGCAAGACACTATGGAGTCGCTCGAAGGCAGGGTGAGGTAACTCTCCATGCTTCGGACCTTCGTTCTTGCAGGCAGGAGGAATACATCAGTAAAGCAAGGCGCGTCTCAACCCGGGACCCGGCATGGTGTTGCTTTGAGGTCTTTTCAAGCAAACACCACCAGGCTATGCTGGTGTGTCGCCCGGGAGACACGCCCAAAACAAAAAAACAAATAGATGGCATGGAACAACACTGGCTTCTTGTCAGCTACACAACTTGCAACGGGCAATGCCAAGGGTGGAGGGTTTCACGTTGGCATATCCACCCCAGGTATACAGCCAGCCGAAGGACGACCTTCCGCCCCTTGTAGACGCGCCGCAACACGGCCAGCCAACACTGAGCAAATGCTAATGTAACCAAATGAGCAATCCAAATACCAGCTTCAAAATCTGCTCTCGTCGGCCGGGAGGCATGGATGTCCGTTGCCACTGCTTCTCCAACAAGAAGCAGGACAGCCTTGGCCACTGCATCGACCGACAGTGAGCCGACCGTGAATAGCTAGCTAAACGAGCAGCCTTCCGTTTTGCTCCTGTCTTGATGGTTCAGGTCTGCTCCCGAAACTTCCTGCTCGCCCTGACTTGAAAAGAGTGCAGTTCGCAGACACAAGGAAGACTGGTCGATTTTGCTTGGCGCCAGTCTCTCTCTCTCGCAGAGCCTATGTGTGTGATCCAAGATGATCCAAGGCCCCGGGAATTGGCTCCGGCCGGATGGATGGCAGTGCTGGTGACAAAACTAGCCACATGACTCTGGACCACTGGAGCTGCCAACCCAAACATTTTAGCCGAGAAAGCCAGCTCTGGTGCTCATTCAGCGAAGCTGACATTTTCTACTCACGCTCTGAGCCTTTGCGGACAAGGCGCCAGAGAACACCTCATGGCGAAGGCTTTAATGATGCGCGTAGCAGGTTATGGGCAAAACGAGCTGTGGCAGTGACTTTGGTCAGACCCCTGGACAGATTTGTATGCCTGGAACACGGCGTAGCAACTGTGACAATGATGGCCCTGTTGGCACACCTTCATGGCTTCTGCGAACTGCGCCAGCTAAACCAGCGGCTGCGGTCAAGTGGAGCGCTCAAATTTTTGGTCTGTGGACGCATGGTAAGCAACACAATCTTACCACGAGCTGAAGCCAATCCTAACATCGAGGTTGATGAACGCCCCATGAAAATCGAAACAACGTGTCCTTTCTAGTGACACTTTGTCGGAAACCCGGCATCGCGTAAGACACAATTTGGAGCGAGTTCCCTGGAGCGGCGTACAATAAATCATGAGTAAGTCAGCAAAACAACTCTGCAGAAACACGATGTTAGCCGAAACTCGGAAATTGATTGCTGGAATCGCGCGTGATTTGTCCAACTTAAGGAAGTCTTCGATGAAGTTCCGTGGCAGCGGCTGCCAAGCCCAGCTCCCCTTCCCGAGAGTGTCTGGTGGCGGACACGAGCATCTAACTTTAGGTGGTCTGGTCCCATGAAGCACACGTATCGCCGCTTCCTTGTCCCTCCCCATTTCAACTCTCATATGCTCGTAGGGCTGAATACTCAAGTTCACGCAGTTCTCGAATAACTGCTGGCAATTTGGAGTCGGAGGGCCAAATCCCCGCAATGAGAAAACAAGACTGCTTTAGATGTTAGCATGATAGAGGTTGTTACCAGAAGAACAAAGCAAACACACCACGCCAAAGCAGTATAGCACACTTTCAAGCATTGAGACACCTGGCAAATATTTGTCTTCCAATACTCGCTTGAGCCAGAAGGAACCACACGTCCACGCCGCAGAATCCATTCCAATCCTCCTTTCTCTTTATGCCTAACATGGAAAACCCACCACACATCCCTCTTGGAGGGAAAACGGCCCTCCATGATCCCCCCAATTTTTTTGCTTTTCGCAGCTCAATCTGAGCCTTGGAGCACCGAAATCTTCGAATCCTTGAATCCTGGCCTGCGCGTCTTCCGCCTGGCAGCGCTGCGCCTCCTCTGCGGCTTTGGTGGCCTGGACCGGGGCGTGCCCATTGTATATATTTACGTACATTCATGTGTATATATATATATATATATGCTAGCCCCCCCCCCAAAAAAAAAGCCCCCCCCCCCAGAACCCGCATTTTCAACATCAGAAAGTCAGATGCTCTTGATATGGAAAGACGGTTGACTTTTAAGCAGAGGTAGATGGTTGACCTTGATAGCAAGACAGATGGTTGTTTACACATACACATGACCATGCTTTCATGGACGCGCGCGGCACATTTTATCCGACTGGATCCAGACGGTTGAAGCGGTCAAAAGCCAGGCATACAACTACTGAGTGGATTTGATGCTTTTCTTCATCGACCACTGACACAGTTCCCCTGATGCAACCCAGAGGTCACACTCCCTCATCCAGTACTGGTACTGGGCCGACCTCAGCATCGCCCTCAAGGCCCCGGATCCAACCTTCGCATTCTGGTTGATGTGGATGCGCTCCTTCATGAACCGCCACGCCCGGTCAATCACCTGAGTGCCACTTTTCACCTTCATGATCTTCTTAGTGGCTGGGTTCTTGTGCGTCACACTCCGGACATATGTGGGAGCCTTCCAAACCCACTTGCCGCCTACTTTGATCTTCTTCTTGCAGTGGATGACACTGTCATGGAGAACGCCTGGAAGCTTGACCTTGTAGCTCTTGGCTGAATCTGTGTGCAGCACGACCTGCTGGTCCTGGAGCCACTTCTTGGCCAACGGCTCCCATTCCACCTTCCGGATCGCACCGGGACCGGGGGCTCTTGCGTCGGTGTTCTTGGGACGAAGGCGATGAAGGACCATTTGGCCCATCTTGGCCCTGTGTGATGACCATTTGCAACATGGTGTCGCCGCCCACCTTCTCCTTCAAGCCAAAGGGCGCGGGCAGCATCTGCAAGTCATTCCTGTCCATCGCTGCCTTGTACGCATGGGAGAGGTCAGCGAAGCTGATGTCCTCCTTGTAGTCGAGAAGCTCCAGGAAGTGAGATGCCGCGTTGTCAGATGACTTCATCTCGGTCATAGGGAAGGTGACGTGATTGAAGTTGCCGGGCGGGAGGTGGGCAGACACAAACGGGTCGGTTTTGCGGCAGATGTAGCCCTCGCAGACCTCCTTCAGATCCTCGAAGGTCATGTCCTCGCCTGCCATTTGCTCACGAGAAGGATGACCGTGTAGAGTCACAGATGGGACAGAAGAGCTTTAGGAGCGCTTGAGGCAGGCAGCCACAGCAGGCATTCATGAAAAACAAAAATGTGGGAGGTTTGTACCTTATCTGTATATGCATGAATGGCACCACCACCACAACCTACATTTCTAGCTAAAACATCAGTACTTGCCTGGAAACACACACACACACACAAAATGGACATAATTCTAGAAAACCAGAAAAACCTCAAGAAAACCAGAAAAACCAGAAAAACCAGAGACTTGTAGCTCAAGATCCAGAAAACCAGAAAAACCTCGAGAAAACCAGAAAAACCAGGAAAATCAGAAAAACCAGAAGATCTGAACACTTTGGCCCACAAGTCTCTGAGACTTCTGGTTTTTCTGGTTTTTTTCTGGTTTTCTCGAGGTTTTTTCTGGTTTTCTGGATCTCGAGCTACAAGTCTCTGAGACTTCTGGTTTTTCTGGTTTTTCTGGCTTTCTCGAGGTTTTTCTGGTTTTCTGGATCTCGAGCTACAAGTCTCTGAGACTTCTGGTTTTTTCTGTGTTTTTTTCTGGTTTTTCTGGTTTTCTCGAGTCTCTGAGACTTCTGGTGTTTCTGGTTTTTTTCTGGTTTTCTCGATGTTTTTCTGGTTTTCTCGAGGTTTTTCTGGTTTTCTGGTTTTCTGGATCTTGAGCTACAAGTCTCTGAGACTCATGTTTTTTTCTGGTTTTTGAGGGTTTTCTGGTTCTCTGGGATCGTGGCCATTTTGTGCGTTGTCCAGGCAAATACCAGTGTTTTAGCTAAAGTGTTTTTTTTTTGGGGGGGGGTACAATATATATATATATATATATTATCCCAGTCAAAACGAGGGCCTCTGTTGGGATAGGTTCTAGACAGGAACAACACATAACGCAAAAAATCAACCCTAGTTTTGACACGCACCCCTGCAACCCTTCTGTTCTTTCTTGTGATGGTACGTCTCAATAAGAGTCTCCACGTCGTGGAATGGTCGCTTGAAGTCACAAGAGCCGAGAACTCTGGCAATGTAATGCAATACTCCTTCTGAGGACTCCTTTATGCACGTGAAGCCCTCTTGTGCATCCGCTTCATGCGGCACACTAAACAATGTGGTCTAGGGGGCTGACAATTTAACGTCTAAAAGTGTATGACACAGATCCCGCAAGAAATGCTCTTGAACACTGCCAACATACTCCATCTTCCCCTTCCGGATTTGTCATCCAGCCACAACTGTGCCGGGTGAGAAACATCCCAAACTTTCGGACATTTAGCGCTCCAAGGTCGGAATGATCAGCTTCATGCTGACTGCGCAATCCACTTTGCCCGTGCCCGGGCGCACCAACATTCTCAACCGAAATCAGTTGGCAGCGCCCAAATCTCAAGTGCACAACGCTCTGGCGTGAGGAACGAGATACAACGCAGGTAAGACTCTGCGAGGGACCCGGAAGGCACAGTCAAGGCCTACAAAGCGACTGTCGAATGTCCCCGTCTGTGTGAAAAAAGCAAGCTTGACGGGGCGGTTGACATAATGGACACGCTGCCTAAAGGCAACTGAATTCTGAGACCAGAGTGCGGCAAGCACTCTCATCCACCTTACATTAGAAGCCGGAGGTTGGGAGATCAAATGAAACCCTCAGCTGTCCTCCAGTTCTGCTCGTACGCCTTCGAGTTGATCCTGGCACTCGCTAGCTCAAATCAGTGGCGAGGGGCACGTCCCTAAAGTGTGTTTGTTCCTTTTCCTCCCGCAGGTCCGCATAGATCCGCAAGCACGCCATCAGCTCTCTACTGAATGACCTAGAAAAACTTAATCAGGAACGATCGAGGAGGTATTTGCTCACTGTGCGTCGTACGTTTCATTACTTTGGGGCTACCTGACCAATCGTTTCGAGTTGCTTCGATATTTGAATGGTAGCAGGTCACGAAGTTAAGCTCGCTCTCGCATTCACGACAGACCATTGCGGTTCAGGCGCTGCCCTCGGATGTCACCGTGCTCTGCCGAAGGATAAATGGGGATCACTAATTATGAGGGCAGACCGTTCAGGAGGAGCGATCAAAGGGGTACGGTGTTTTTTTTGCTCAAGCCTGTCTTTTGCTTAACCCTGTCTCCGTTCTGGGGCTCAGTTTCATTCACTCCATTGCCTGGCCCCCCGAAAGAGCAGCACACAAAGCCCACTCTGTTTTGGACTTCGGGACCGACTTCTGGAGAACCAACCAACCGGGTCGGACAGGGCTAAGCAAAAGACAGGGCTAAGCAAAAAAAACACCCATTCCGCGATCAAAGGACCGGGCAAAAAGGAAAATACCTCTACAAGCTTGATGCCCCACACTGCTCGTTCATCAAGACGCAAACGATAGTCTCCCCCGCTTGGTCGATAGTGCCATGTTATATGTCAAGTTCCTAAAGCATAGGACAATGATGGGCAATGACAATGGTTGTTTTGTCGCCAGGCGGCCTTTGTTTCTCGCACCACTCACAAACTAAGATATTCCAAGTACCTTCCCACCTATGGAACCCAACTTGGGGGTCCAAGTCAATCTTCCTCAAGGGACCGGGAGGGTGTTCCAAGTGTCACCTGGAGGCTCTGCACGCGGCTTTCCAGCAGGGCTTGCGCCACCTGAGCCGAACCGTTATCCAAGTGTTAGCATCCTTGTTAACTGTCCTTTTTAAACCATCCATCACAAGGTACCCTTGCTGGCCATACTTGAAAGGGCCCCTGATTTTTCAGGGTGTGAAGCCGCGAAGCCGTGCCCGTAAACCATCTCTCGAATCAAGGAATAGACACACCCTTGCTTCAAAAGTCCAGGTCAGGCATTTGAAGGCGGCTCGAGGGGCGATCACCCAACGAGAAAACTGCTGCATTCCATGGAAAACGACTCACGTGCCTCCACCCGACCGTCTCTCTGCGAGGAATTGCTCAGAAGCTCCTGCGCGGATTTCCGGCTGCAACCAAACGAGAAAATGGACGAGCCCCTATCTGAATGAGTAGAGTGAGTAGAATGAGTATGACTCAACTATTCAAATCTAGGCAAAAGAACGTTTCCATGCCCACGATGATGCTGACCCTGGAACACATCCAGAGCGACCCGCCCCCTTCTCAAAACAAACAATAGCTTGCCAGGTTGGGACCCCGCTGTCAAGTGGACGCTCCCCACACATGTGTCGAGGTGCCCTGGCGCATGGTAATTAGGCAAAGGCTAATATGATCGCATACGGATCTGCAGTTCAGGAAGGCGCCTGCAGCACCCACTCCATCCATCAACCAGTCAAACTGCGACTCTCATCATATACACGGATCGCTTCACATACACCATAGCCAACCTGACGTGATGTTCTTGTGTGGCTTCGCTCCTGCCTCGCTACCATTGCCAAACAGCTTTGCAGTGGAATCAAGGCTGCATGATGGATTTCAAGACTGAGCTCCAGCTGATGAATGTCCGACAGCAGGTCGCTCTGGTTCGCCATGGCTCTCATGGAATCTCCACTTTTTCCCCAGAAACCCGCTCCCCCAATGCTTCTTTGGCCCGTGGCAGGGTGGGATCTTTGCAACCGACCCCTGGCCTACGGTTCATGCACTTTCCAGAAAACCATATGCGGCACTCAACTTGCTCCTTGCACTCCGCATGCGCCTGCTCCAGTTCCTTAGTGGAGTGCGTGCAAAAGGCTCTGACACCGCGCACACACACACATGAAGTCCTGGATGACTACACGGAGCCCTCTGTTCATTTAAAGAAACAGACTCAAAGAACTCCCTGCAATTCAAAAACGATCATGACCAACAACACTAAGAGGTATATGAAACTAATTGGTGTAACTTTACCAACTTCCCTCTTGATAGACTTGAGGAACACCGTTGGCAACCCAAGTGATTGTGAGAACCTTCTGTGGGCCATGAGCCAGCGGGTTGTTTCCGAACCTGGGTCCATTGCCTGGTCACATCGTCAAATTTGCTTGTACATGCTGGCTTAAACGTTTAGCATCGTTACACCAACCCCCAAAAAGAACCATCCTCTACATCACCCTGCCTCATATATAATCCTTTAAAGGGAAGCCACCCCAAAAACACGTTCAGTTTACGGGACCCACAAATTCAACGCAGGCCACCCGCTCTGCTCGGCTCTTCTTCTCCACCGTGCTGCGTAGCTCTTGGCGCAGGCGACCTGCTAGGTTTCAGGGCACAACTCCTTTGGAGGGGTACGCCAGGGCATTGACGTTTGGTTCTACTAACATGGTAATAGGGACTTTTTATAGGCCTTGCCATGAACCCCATGAAACCATCTAGTAGAACCACCTGAGTCAGAATCAAACCCCGGTATTCTCAAAATGGTCTACCCAGAACCGTGCTTCAAGAAGTAAGAAGGCGGATATCCGCAACTATTTCTGGCTGGGACTGCTCCTTACCAACCTTCATCTACCCGGGTTTTGATTGTGGCTCAAGTGGACGGCATACTTCCCCCCTATTGGATTCATCCAATGTACTTACCCACATAAACGGAATCCACTCATCTACTTTCACACAGCTGTAGATGGAGACTTGACTTGGTTGACAAAGGCAACAACCAAATAGCTGCACGGCAATCAACGGCAAATCAAGGGCAAGCCAAAGGAAACTTGAAGCTGTCGCAGAAAGACGTTCAGGCCAATTGCAATTTCAAGCACAGAAGGACCTACGGCAAATCACATTATGACAGCTGGCTTTCGGACGTATGGTACAGAATGTCATCAGAATGTCAAGTCCCTATTGGCTGACATTGGTTAAAATGGGATCTTGATATTTGCTCACGTCTGCGCTTGGGCAAGAAACATCTCGCTTGATCGCGCGCAATGGTGGCCAGTTGGACGGCCAAAAGGTGCTCACGAAGTACTTAACATATCTTCTCTCGCCTGATATGGCTTGCCTTCCCAGAACCGAACTTGCTAGTAATCCCTCACGGCATACGTCAACCTGCGTACCTACCTTCCTAGGTCATTGCCTTGCAACCAGCC